TCCAATGCCTCCACCTGGTTTTGAGGGACCATTGGAACCTTCCAGAAGCCAGTGAACAGAAGAGGTGGAGACTGAATATGCATGTTTATGGGAGTCTAACCAATCCTAGGCCCTGGTAGAGTGGTGGACCAGCTCATAAATATGGGAAGGTAAGGCTGACATAGGGTCGGGTGGAAGATGGAGTGCTGAGGAGACTGGCCTCCAGGCTGGGCTCAGGAGGATTCATTCAGCAGTATGGTAGGAACAGGCTAAAGGCCAGGTAACAGTGGAAGCAAGGAGGAAAGAGTGAGCACATCAGCACACCCAGGGATTTACAAGGGGAGAGTCTGCCACGTATATCAAGCTTTCAGCGTTGTGCTTAATCCTTTATCCTTGTCCTGGGAAAACTTCATAGCAGTCAGGAGGGCTGGTAGTGTCTGCAGGTTGTGAAGCTGGGAGTATTTCTACAGAGGAGAAGAGACATCTCGGCATGTAGTTTACAACAAGCTAAGATAACTTTCAGGGGGGCCATAATGGGCTGTTGCTACTGATCTGCAAAGACTGACCGCTTTCAAGGAAAAGAACAGTCCAGGATCTGTTTCTGTAAATAGGAAGGAAGTTATTCCTGTGGATTGATTCAGTAAAATTTGGGCATCCCATAATCCCTATTACCCTATCCAAGTTATTTCCCCTAATAAAATAACTAAAACCAAGCTCACAGACTGTACACTGACTGTGGATGCAAGTGTGGAAAATCTGTGTTGCCTGGCTGTGCAGAGCTTAGGGGGTCCTTGAAACACAGCGGTCCTCATGAGGGTAGAGCTACATTATCTACAATTCCCTGCATACTTTGTCTGTCACTCCAGCACATTAAACCACAGACTGAAAAATAAATACAGTGACGAGCTGGAAGCGGATGTTCATCTACCAAATATTGTGATATGCTTTGACCAAAATACCACTTTAAAAACTGCTTTCTGTGATTTCCTGGAGAAATATGCCGGTGTGTCCTATAATAACAGTAAGAAAGGAAATGTGATAATATGCATATAAATTATGTATTGCTGAGTCAAGCATCAGGCTTGGTATTCAATGAGCTAATGAAACTTTAGACAAGTCTTATATCCCTGTGACTGTTTCAGCTCATTGATTTCCAGAAGCCAATTAATGTGATTACATTTCCTATTCACATTTTTTCATTACAAATATTTGGGGTGTAAATGTTGTGCTTTAAAGGGAACCTGCCATGCTGGATGTTATCAGTCCTGGCTGAGGCTCCCATCCATCACCATCAGCTGCCATGGCCTGATTCCTGGGAGGGCTGTTGCAGCTTAGACAGTGGCAGCCTCCAGGATGTTGAATCTGGGCAGTGGGAGCCTCACCTGATCCAGTTGACAGTTCTACTAAAATCCTGGTTTGCAGTTTACCACATTCTTTATGACGCTTAAAATTAAAGCTTAGTTCCAGCCTTACCTTCAGTCTTACATGGTTGGAAGGGCTCCTTTACTGTACTGAAACGGTTTTATTCTAACATGACTGCACACTGTTATTTTCTCATTGTGTGCATTAGAAACTTCAGCAAGTCAGATAGAGTCCACCTTGTTTCATGGCGGGAGGACATCCAGCATCAACTAGAGCTTCCCTTCCCAATCTGAATGTCTATAGCAGCCTTTCTCAACCTTCTCAACACAGAGGAACCCTTGAAATAACTTTCTGGTCTCAGGGAACACTACTAAAAATGACTATATCTATAACTCATGATAGATTAGTGTAATGTTTATTTCGAGGAATGTTCCTTATACTTGTGGTCATTGGGAAGAATTACCCCCTTACAGATAGCTGAAAAGATCAATGGTGTCCGTGGGAACTTACCTGAGTGGTAGAAATTGCTCATTGCTCAAGGAACCCTTAGCAACCCTGGAGGAACCCTAAGGTTCCACTGAACCCTGGTAGAGAAACCCTGGTCTATAGCCTGTCACTTCAGTTCTTTCAGTCATGTAAGTTCACCAGAATGGATAGTCAGCCAAATGATCAGACGAGTAAATATACAGTTGCAAGAAAAAGTATGTGAACCCCTTGGGATTCCGTGGAGTTTTGCATGAATTGGGCATAAAATGTGCTCTGAACGTCATCTAAGTCACAACAATAGAAGAAACACAGTCTGCTGAACATAATACTACACCAACATTAGATGTTGACATGGTTTAATTGCACATAACATGTAAACATTCACAGTGCAGAGAGGAAAAAGTATGTGAGGCCCTAGATTAATGACTTCTCCCAGAGCTAATTGGAGCCAGGAGTGAGCCAACCTTGACTCCAATCAGTGTGATGATATTGGATGTGTTGCTGACAGCTGTCCTGCCCTTAAAAAACACACACCTGTTTTGGGTTTACTGGTTTCAAGAAGCACTGTCTGATGTGAACCATGCCTCACAGAAAACAGCTCTCAGAAGACCTACGATCAAGAATTGTTGACTTGCAAGAAGCTGGAAAGGGTTACAAAAGTATCTCCAAAAGCCTTGATGTTCATGTGTCCACGGTAAGACAGACTGTCTACAAATGGAGAAAGTTTAGCACTGTTGCTACTCTCCCTAGGCGTGGTCATCCTGTAAAAATGACTGCAAGAGCACAGCGCAGAATGCTGCATGAGGTAAAGAAGAATCCCAGAGTGTCAGCTAAAGACCTTCAGAAATCTCTGGCACATGCTAACATTTTTGTTGACACATCTACAATAAGGAAAACATTAAACAAGAATGGAGTACATAGGAGGACATCACGGAGGAAGCCATTGCTGTCCAAAAAGAATATTGCAGCACGTTTGAAGTTTGCAAAAGAGCATCTGGATGTTCCACAGCACTACTGGCAAAATATACTGTGGACAGATGAAACCAAGATTGAGTTGTTTGGGAAGAACACACAACACTGTGTGTGGAGAAAAAAAGGCACAGCACACCAACATCAAAACCTCATCCCCACTGTAAAACATGGCGGAGGGAGCATCATGGTTTGTGGCTGTTTTGCTGCCTCAGGGCCTGGACGGATTGTTGTCATTGATGGGAAAATGAATTCCAGAGTTTATTAAGACATTTTGCAGGAAAACGTACGACCATCTGTCCGCCAACTGAAGCTCCGCAGAGGATGGGTGATGCAACAGGACAATGACCCAAAGCATACAAGTAATTCAACAAAACAATGGCTGCAACAGCACAGAATACTCCTTCTGGAGTGGCCCAGTCCTGACCTCAACCTGATTGAAATGCTGTGGCATGACCTTAAGAGAGCGATTCACACCAGACATCCCAAGAATATTGCTACACTGAAACAGTTTTGTGAAGAGGAGTGGTCCAAAATTACTCCAGATCGTTGTGCAGGTCTGATCTGCAACTACAGGAAACGTTTGGTTGAGGTTATTGCTGCCAAAGGAGGGTCAACCAGTTATTAAGTCCAAAGGTTCACATACTTTTTCCTCCCTGCACTGTGAATGTTTACATGTTATGTGCAATGAAACCATGGCAACATCTAATGTTTGTGTAGTATTATGTTCAGCAGACTGTGTTCTTCTATTGTTGTGACTTAGATGACGTTCAGAGCACATTTTATGCCCAATTCATGCAAAACTCCACGTAATCCCAAGGGGTTCACATACTTTTTCTTGCAACTGTAACTTGCAGTTTACTAAACAGGTGTAGAGTTGGAATCAAAATTTCAAAACAGGTTTAAGAGGGCAATAAGCATGCATACACTACAGAAGAATATAAAACAGTTCATGAAAGCTGCACAAACATGGACTCTTCACTACAATATCTCAGGCATGGTAACAAAGCATAATCTCTATAGGATTTTAGGATTTTATAACAACAGAGTGTCTAGCTGAGAAACAGTTCAAAACACAACTACTTGCAATTATCCTCATAAGCAGTATTCCTCTCAAGAAGATCACGCCTTACACATTGGGCTGTTCTGGGCTGCCTTGCCCAATTCATAGACAAGGTAATTTGCATTATTTCCTATTGGTTCCCAGCACAGCACTGCGTAGCAGGGGTGTGTGCTGAAAAAAGTAGGGCAGGCTTTTACTTTTTTTTTTTAACACGTGTCGCAATGCAGTACACCTTGCCATTACTCGCTGTAGTAATTTAAGATAAATTAAATTTATAAAGTTGGAAAAAAAAATGAGAAAAAGTAAACAGTGTGATTTGTAATTCATGATGCATCAGCACTGCTAGCTTCACAGAGTACATTGAGGTTAATTTACTAAAGGCAAAAAGACTGTGCACCGTGCAAGTGCAGTTTCTCCAGACCTTAGTAAATGAAGGGAGTTCTGCTGACTTCCATCATCCATTCATGTAGATTTCTATCATCCATCCATGATGCGCAAGCCAGCAAACAATAAAGTGAGATCTAATGCTCTCCTTTTAAAACACTTTATTGTTAAAAATTGCCCTAGTAAACTCACATAAAGCAAAGAATTACCTGGCAAACAATAGTACAGTGTCTCTGTCTCCTAAAAGATCAGGAATGCTGAAGCCAATAGTCAGGTCGGGACAATGCCGCTAATAACGCCAGTACTCAGCGGCTGCAATGATGGACGCGATGACGTCACATGGTAGGTTCCACCCTACATGTTGCATCCCTTGCCAGGAACATCAGATGTAGTCTTTTTTTATTGTTTTGAGGGATATGTGATGTGGACCATACCCCCTGGATGGTAGTGGAGTGGCAGTGTGATCTCCTAGGGGGTTGGAGGCATTTACCATCTTTCCATCAGATTTGCCTGACTAGACCTCTTATAATCTGGAGGTCAATACAAAGGTGAGCAGATTCACAAAACAGTTGGTGGTGGTTGTTATAGCAGGAGGTGCTCATGATCAGTGGTGTATTTAGGTTTCGTGCTGCCCTAGGCAACACAAAAATCAACTCCCCCCCCCCCCCCCATGGAGAGACCCTGTCACTGACCAACACCTCCCCCTCCTCCACGAAGAGAGCCTGGCATTGACCAACAACACTCCAGCCCCCCCCCCCCCCCCCCCCGCACGCGAGAGAGCCTTGCACTACCACCGCCCCTCATACACTGACAACCCCCCCCCCGGCGAGACACTCACCTTCACAGCCCTGGACATCCCCTGGAACAAGATTCAGGCTCTGCATACACCATCAAGCAGCCCGCAGCCTCTCTCAGATCCCACCTGGTCCCCATGCTGTGTATGTCCCTTCTTTCGGGGGGCGGTGCTGACACCCTGAAAAATGCTGCTACCCCCCCTGAAAAATGCCACCCTAGGCAAATGCCTTGTTTGCCTTGTGGTAAATACGCCCCTGCTCATGATTCACACAAAAAAGAAGATTGTAATGTGAAAGAGTACATATGTTTTGGAGCACGGATTTTTTCACTCGCACATTTCTTTTTGTCACATGAACTTTGTTGCACTTCATTGTGGAAAGTAACACAAACTTTACTGCACAATATTGTTTTAGGATTGTAATATGTTTTGCATTTGTGTTTTATAGCACTGCACATATTTATTATTTCTTTTGATTTTGGTTAATGTTGTTGATCATAAATAGTACAAAATTATCAGAGCTTTGATACCTATATAAAGCAGCCAGCATAAACTCGAGTGATCACAAATAAAACAAATAAAATGTAAACATGCAGCCAATCCTAATGTTGTTGATCAGCGATACTAATTTTATTTTATCATTTTTCACACTGTGGGATGCTCACAGTGTGCAGTGAAATCAGAGTAAGCAATTTCAGTAGAGGAGAAGAGCCTGTACTGCAACTGCAATACATCGAATGTGATTTGCACAGGAACCGCATCGCATTCCTATGTAAATCACATGCGAATTGTGTGCGGTATGATTTGAGCCATACATTACGTATGGCTCAAATCACACCGCAACCGTACCAAAAAGGTGCAGGACCCTTTTTTCGGTCCGCACTAGAATCGGATCGCATGCGTATTCCCACCTATGCGATCCGATTCTGCACATCGCACCGCGTTTTGCAGACCAATTTCAGGGTGTTGTTAACATAACATACACACCCGCAGCGGTTCGCATGAACGGGGTGCGATTCTGATGTGGAGCGGAATTCACACAGAAAATGCTGCGAATTCCGGACAGCATCAAAGTGAACCCAGGCTGAAGGTAAGGTTGGAGTTCAACTTTGACCTCTAACTCAGATTAAAAATCAACTCAAAGTGTCATTAAACCTACAACAGTAAATTCAGTCTGTATACTGTATGCAGTACAGGCTGTAAGCATGATTGTTATACTCACTGTGGAACCTAAGGGGTTAATCCTCTGCATTGTGTAAAAATGCAGTTTGATCCTGACTTCTCTGATCCTCCCCTTCTTCCAGTGCCCCCCTCTTATCTCCTAATAAGACATAACATGTGGAGTCACTCTGCACATGCTCAGTTTGGTGTGTATTGCTAGTGAGTTTTTTTTTTTTTAATTCTTGGAAGAGTACATGCGATCAGCACAGGGCCAATCAGCCCTGTCCAGAAAGAGGGCCAGGGGTCCTGCATCCTAGAGCAAAATGAAAACTCCTTCTACAAACTTTAAAATGTGCTTAGCTGCACACAAATAGAAGTCACAAGACTGCTCTAACTGCTGATGAGAAAAGTCATTTAGCAGTTTTATTTACTAAAATAATTGCATTTCCATGTTCTGTGTACTGTGGGAGACCAGATATAGTGAATTCAGGGTTCGGGGAGACCAAATATAGTGAATGCAGGGTCCGGGGAGACCAAATATAGTGAATGCAGGGTCCGGGGAGACCAGATGTAGGGAATGCAGGGTCCGGGGAGACCAGATATAGTGCATGCAGGGTCCTGGGAGACCAGATATAGTGAATGCAGGGTCCGGGGAGACCAAATATAGTGAATACAGGGTCTGGGGAGACCAGATATAGTGAATGCAGGGTCCGGGGAGACCAAATATAGTGAATGCAGGGTCCGGGGAGACCAGATATAGTGAATGCAAGGTCCGGGAAGACCAGATATAGTGAATGCAGGGTCCGAAGAGACCAGATATCGTGAATGCAGGGTCCGGGGAGACCAGATATAGTGAATGCAGGGTCCTGGGAGACCAGATATAGTGAATGCAGGGTCTGGGGAGACCAGATATAGTGAATGCAGGGTCTGGGGAGACCGGATATAGTGAATGCAGGGTCTGGGGAGACCGGATATAGTGAATGCAGGGTCCGGGGAGACCGGATATAGTGAATGCAGGGTCCGGGGAGACCGGATATAGTGAATGCAGGGTCTGGGGAGACCAGATACAGTGAATGCAGGGTACAGGGAGACCGGATATAGTGAATGCAGGGTCCAGGGAGACCAGATACAGTGAATGCAGGGTCCTGGGAGACCAGATATAGTGAATGCAGGGTCCGGGGAGACCAGATATAGTGAATGCAGGATCCAGGGAGACCAGATATAGTGAATGCAGGATCCGGGGAGACGAGATATAGTGAATGCAGGGTCCGGGGAGACCAGATATAGTGAATACAGGGTCCTGGGTTTAGTAACACTTTCATTTAGTGCATTTGCACAAATGACTAGCGCCTTCCCACACACACCTTTGGTCATTGTACCACATTATTAAGTAAAGCTTTCCAATTTTTTTACAGAGCAGCTGAAAGACCAATATAAGTGCTAGCAGACCTCACAAACCTTGCATGCAATATAATGAAAAATGTTAGTGATCACATTCATTAATGGAAAGCCTTTCCAAACAATTTCAGAAATTTGGCTTGTTTTCTTTTTAAATGCTGGAATTTTCCTTTGCTGTTGCACATTTAAAATCAAATATCTGAACTATGATTAACTTGAAAAGCGGACACCATAATAGCTAAGGATGCTGGGAGTTTCATTGGTATCTGTTTCAAATCTATTACAATACACTGGGATACAGTAGTGATTGAGTCCAGATGGGGTACATCAAATACTTCTAAACAATTCACATGTGAACTTACATTAACATTTGCTGGGTTTTTATGATCAGAGTCCGATGACAGGAGTATTTCCAGATGATTTTGGAATTCTGAAGTGTAACTACACTTTTACTGAAAACAAAAACTCCCCTGGTAAATTCTATACATAGAAAGGATTTAGTAAACGTCATTGCTGAACTCTGTCTGCAGCCATTTGTACTGAAAATCATGCATGGACCCCAATCAATTCCTAGTGAGGATCTTCCTGCAATAGTCACATGATCAATCCCAGTGTAACAAGGCAAAAAAGTGAATTGGGAATGGCAGTGATTCAATCACATCAACATAAAATTACATTTCTGGGGGGTTATATATACCAAAAGTGTTCAGAAGACCCCCATAAAAAGAAGCCATGTTTGAGTTATTTTTACCTGTTCTTGGAACATACGTGGCTGAAGATCGAACCAGAAAGTAAATTTTTAGTACCACTAAAGTGCAAAAAGTGGAGTTGCCCTTTTATTGAACTGGACCATTGTTTTTTGCTCTGCATTATTAAGCAAGCCTGTCATTAAATTGGAAAATTGATTCCACTGGTAGAAATTACAAATAATGTTCTTTTTTTTAAACGTTGATCCCCTTTTAATTCCAGCTGAGAGTAGCATATTGGTTATAATAACTAGAAGAGTAAGACTTACATTTATAAGCTTTTTATTTTAATATCTGCTGTGCTGTGACTGAGGACTTTTTCTAAGCTGAAGGCATATAAATAATGTCTCTGAACTATTTAAATATATTTGCAAATGTAATGGACGTTTGGCATTCACAATAATCTTTTTTCTACCACAGTGGATTTGAGAATCTTACATTATATTAGTGTAGCTCACTCATATAGGGCCGCTAATTTAATATTTGTTTCTGGAACTAAAATGTTTGACTAGTGTGATATCTCAACCACTCTTAACACAAATATACTACACAAATTTAAATTGTCAATAAATATTTTGAACAAAATTTTAGACTATAAATTGTAACAGTAATACAAGTATACAATGTTTATTTATATATATATATATATATATATATATATATATATATATATATATATATCTCATATATATTTTTTGTTTTTGCTTAATTCATAAGAAAGTATTCACACTATGAATCATCTAGGAAAAGACAGCACAGGAATTTCAGGTTGAGCTATTCAGCTCCGTTTACCATATTTGTACAACAAATGAGTAAAGAGGACAGAGGCAAACAAATAAAATGGTATCTAAAGCTCCATACAGCTGGATTATCATTATTTATTTATTATTATACAGGATTTATATAGCACCAACAGTTTGCGCAGTGCTTTACAAAATGAAGTTGGCATTACAGTTACAATACAATTTGGTAAAAGAGAAAACAGAGGGCCCTGCTTGTTAGAGCTTACAATCTAGGAGGAAGGGTTGAGTGATACAAGAGGTAATAGCTGTGGGGGGATGAGCTGATGGAGGAAATAAATGGCAGTTTACTAGTTAGGAGCAGGATAGGCTTCTTTAAAGAGAAGGCTTTTCAGGGATCGTCTAAAGGTGGATAGATTAGGAGATAGTCAGACAGCTTGGGGTAGGGTGTTCCATAGGATGGGAGAAGCTCGGGAGAAGTCCTGGAGGCGAGAATGGGAGGAGGTGACAAGGGAACTATAGAGCAGAAGGTCTTGGGAGGATCGAAGAGAGTGGTTTGGTTGATATTTTGAGACCAGGTTAGTGATGTAGCTGGGGGCAGCGTTGTGGATGGCTTTGTAAGTTGTTGTTAGTATTTTGAATTTTAATCGTTGGGCGAGTGGAAGCCAGTGGAGGGATTGGCAGAGAGAGGTAACAGACACTGAGTGGAAGCCAGTGGAGGGATTGGCAGAGAGAGGTAGCAGACACTGAACGGTTGGTAAGGTGGATGAGCCTGGTAAGCCTCCAGTATTCATGATGGACTGGAGAGGGGATAGCCTATGTAAAGGTAAGCCAATGAGGAGGGAGTTGCAGTAGTCAAGGCGAGTGATAACCAGGGAGTGAATTAGGAGCTGTGTGGTATCATTGGTTAAAAAGGGGTGTATTCTAGAGATGTTGCGGAGGTTGAGGCGGCATGATTTGGACAGGGATTGGATGTTGGCGTGAAAGGATAGTTCAGAATGCAGGGTTACACCTAGCACACTGGCATGCAGTGATGGGTTGATAGTGGTGCTATTGATTCTGACCGAGAAATCAAGGGAAGAGGCACATGGCGGAGGAAATATTACGAGCTCAGTTTTGGATAGATTGAGTTTTAGGAAGTGGTGCGACATCCAGTCTGATATGTCGGTTAGTAAATTGGTGATACGTGATGAAAACTGACATGGTGAGTTGAGGAGCAGAGAGATAGATTTGTGTGTCATCAGCATAGAAATGGTATTGGAAACCACGGGAAGCTATCAGCTGACCCAAGGAAGAAGTGTAGATCAAGAATAGGAGAGGTCCAAGCACAGAACCTTGGAGGACCCCAACAATAATAGGAGTAGGAGAGGAGGAAGTAGAGTTGTAAATGACACTGAAGGTGAGGTGAGATACGTAAGATTCGAACCACTGGAGAGTACAGTCACGGAGACCAAGTAAATAGAGTTTTTCAGGATGGATAGATTACAAAAACACGAATTTACAATATTTTGTATTTACCTAAATATTCTGAAAAGGAAAATATACTATTTTACATGCTATTCAAATACTATACATTTCCTTAAAAAATTCACAATGTTAGCAGTCAGTATTGGAATTCTATACTCTGCCATGGTCACTGCATTTTACACCCTTTGCACCTATTCATGAGGATAAAAACTTGCTGATTAGGGTATATAAGTAAAACTAAGAGCCATCATTTAGTATCTGATGTCTTCACATAATTGGCAATTACTGCTGTACCAAAATACTTCATTCACCACTCCATTTCCACTCAATTTTGAGTGGAACTGACACATACATATAGGCAGAGAAAACATAACTAAATGTAGGTTGAACTGTTTGTCTTTTATCCCTTTTTCATGTGTGTGTATATATATATATATATATATATATATATATTATGTTTGACCAAATATATATCATATATTTGGTCAAACTGTCATTTTTGGCTTTGGAATAG